TCTCCGGCCCCCTCTCCCTCAAGTGTACAGGTACATGCTACGTGGAGATAAACCCACCTCTGGGCAGCGATCCTCGGTCTCTAAGAAAAAGCTCTGGCTCTTCGTCTTCTCAGAAGCTCTCCCCGAGACACGGTTCCATGCCTCGGGCTCTCTGAAACGTGTCGCTCCTGCACTGGGCTGGATCGCCATGGTACCACAAGCTGTCGGACAGCGAGCCTCGTTGCTCATGGTTGTCCTCGTATGTCGGCCCGGTCGTTGAGGCATTTTGCGAGGGTCCGGTGTAACATGACCACACGGGGATCTTCGTCAGATTGCTCGGTGAGTCAATCTGCTCTACGCATACGTCGCCGAGCCTCTCCAACCTCTAAATTACATGAATCATCCAGTCTCGACTTTCGTGTACTGTATCATGTTCATGAGGCACTCAAGTGCGACCGCATACGGCAAAAGCACATCTTACCGTCGGCAATTAGCACGTCTTCTACCGCCCGCACCCGACGAGTCCACAAATATCGCACCTTCTCCCGGCGGCACCCTTGTCCGTGACGAACTGACCCGCGTCGACATTAAAGTGCTCCACTTTGATATTGCCTTCCTCGACCGGATCTGCAAATAGTCCTCCGTTCAGATCCTCGAGCCGGCCCCTTGCGGAACACGAGAAGAGACGCTTTGCTGGCGTTGCCGACTGGACCTGTTATTCTTGTCCTTTGACGTCAGTTCCTACATCTGGAATCATTGCGACAGGATCCTCATGACGTCGACTCGTCGGTACTCCTGCCTCGTCGCAATTCACGATCGTCGACGAAACACGATTGTGTCAACCCCAGAAATCTTGCCATCTCCTCGCGCACTATCGGATACGCTGACAAAAATACTCTGAATCTGATTTCGTTATTACGGTATACGCGCACGCTACCCCACAAATGATATCATATTGCTACAAAAGTTCAATTCATAGGAGGCCCCCACATTTACGAGACGGTAATGCGCTGCGGCGTCTGCTCGGGCGTTGTCTTCGGGAAGGTGACCGTCAGGACACCATTGTCCAGCGCTGCCTTAATCTCCTCGTGCTGTAGGCTCTGTGTAAGTACCATCGTTTCGTCAATAGAAATGAGGACTAGCTTACCTTGATTCCCTGCGGCAGCGGAATCGTCCGCGAGAACTTCCCGAACCGACGCTCGCGCACGGTGTAGCCGCTCTCGTCGCGCGTCGAGTCGACATTCGTCTCGCCCGAGACGGTGAGCGTGTTGTTGTGCACGTCGAGATGCACGTCCTCTTTCTTGAGACCGGGGAGCTCGAACGTTGCTGTCACGGTGTTCGTCTCCTTATTGTCGTGCAGGTCCATCCTGTAGAAGGCGATGTGAGCATGTTTCACTTTGTTAAGCGAACGGGAAGGACATACCTTGGTCGGAGGCTGCTGCTGGTTGTGGATGCGCTGCCGCGGCGTTGGACGGCGCCATTCCCAGACCGAGCGAAAAAGGCCTCGTCGAACAACTTATCGAAGTCGGCGAAGGAGTAGAAGGGCTCGTAGAAGTAGTGGGTAAGAGACATGGTGGTTTGAGGAGGTTGGTGAGAGGCGAAGCTAGTGAAAAGCTGATGACTTGTTCTGGAGTGTCGGACGTTGGCTCGCAGAGGGGGCTTATATATCTTTGAGTAACATTTACCTACAGTGAAGTGGAACGATCTGGAATTGGCCAGTCGGTGGTAAGGAAAGGAGCCTGTCCTTCGGGAATTTTCTCGAAATTTCGATGTGGGTTATGAGCACGAACGAACGTCCGGAATTTCTTGGGAAATTTCTACGGGGCTCTATCATCTCATAATAAGCTTGTCTGTACCGTCGCTGTTTTTTCCATTGAAGCATGGCCTCGAATTTTGACCTTCTGCGTTCAAGGATGCTACACGCGTGTATATGAACGCCTTGAATTTCCCACGGCGGTTCGGCGCTTGATCGACTCTGGCGCAAGCTCCTCTTCCTCCTTCGTCATCCAACAGTTTGTCATATTCGCTTTCCCTTGTTAACACGACGCACTCGTTTCTTCACTCTCCAGAACACCCAGTATATGCATTCTGCTCGAATCACACATCATGGGAAGACATCAAATACCCATAGTCTATCACCCCTGGTAATCTGTCAATCAAGCGCGCTTCCACCACCAGAACAAGCCGTCGGCGCATCCCATGCTGTCTTTGTGCCTGCCTGTACAGTCAGTAGGCCCTTCGGTCGTCTGGACAACGCACGCGCGCGTCGAAAAGCCCCGAATCCAGCTCGCGCGCATATGCATATATTGTCGAAATGATCGCCCGAACAGCGAACGCGCTCGACTTGATTTTCTCCCTCTTCAGCTTCTGAATTAGCCCGCGCGATGGACTCTGGCCAGCGGCCAGCGACGTCTGCGAACCGCGACTCATGGCGCATGCATGGCCTGGAGCCATCTCTTGATTCAGTGCCGACGCTGGCTGGATCCAAGACACCAAGCCTGTACCACGACCTCTCGCTCGAACCGGATACTCTCGTTTCCGACACGCACCAAAAACGACGACGACGCGCATCTTCCTTATGGGACCTCGACGAGCCCGTCAAAGGCCGCTTGCGATCCTGGAATGGGCCCCGGTGTAACGTCCTCCTGCCGGCTCTGCTCGTATTCGTGATCACCGCCGGGTTCGGGACTGCGCTCGTCGTGTGGCTGCTGCAGCACGAGACACAGTCGTCGCTGGCGCAGATATTCCGGGACGGCGCGTTTCTGCTGGACGAGGGTGTGCGTGAGGTGACGCCGATCTCGTTGGCCTCGGCGAGGTCGGGGCTGAATACGGAGGGGCGGTTGACGGGGTTGACGATTGCTTCTGCTGCGGTACGTGCATTGTTGCTGTGTCGAGTCCTGCCTGCGTTGCTGATGAGAGGAATAGTCGAGCGCGGTGGGCATCGTTGCGCCGGTCTCTATGGGATTGTATGCATTTCTGACTGCGCGAATGTGGCTTTCTGTCCGCGATGAGGATCTGCCGACGCCCTTGCAGTGAGTCATTCACGAAATCCTAGAATTTGCCGCAAGGCTGATGTAGTGTAGATACGGCTTGCTACTAGAGATGCTCAGCGGGGGCAGCATCGTGTCATTGGCGCAGGCAGGCTCTTACATGGTTCGAGACCGACGGCGCCGGCCTCGCGTTCCTCCCATCTTTCTTCGTGTCTTCATAGTTGGGCTTTTGACGCATATACTTGCGTATCTGGTCAGGTACGTTCGCTATGTCATGTTGAGATATCAAATGCCGACAATCTCCATACCTCAGTGGCGTTGATATCTGGCTTCATTCGACCACAGCAACAATCCAACAAGCCTACCTCTTGGTGGAGCCCGCAAAATGGCAGCTGAGCATCGGTCAGAACAGCTGTCAACCGTACACCCCGCCGACGCAAGACGAGCCGCGGTACCCCTGTCTCCTCAACGCCGACCGCGGCAGCTGGGGCTCCGGGATGGCCGCACTCTCCCCCGGCCTGGAGGTGATGTCGAACAGCTCCAAGACGCTACAAACCGCCACGCTCGCCTCCGCCAACGGCCTCGCGATCCTCATGGACTCGAACGTGCCGCCCACGCAGCCCGGAGACGTCGCGACGTACAACTTCACGACCTTCGGCGCGCGCGCGTCGTGCGAGTCCGTCAACGCGCTCTGCACGACGTCCACCCTCGCGGACGGGACGACGCTCAACACCACCTGCGCGGGCTTCCCAAGCACCTTCCCGCCGCTCAACGTCAGCCTCGCGCGCACGCCCGCCGCGCTCGGGCTGCTCTCATCCAACTGCCCCGGCTGCCCGTACCTCTCGCCGGGCGCGTACGCCTCCGGCGGGAGCGCATGGACCGCCTCCAGCCCACCCCCACAAAACAACTACTCGCTGTGGCTGCAGCTGCTCTGGCAGCTCGACGGCGACGAGACCGCCGTGGGGTACGGCACGCTGAACGGCTCACAGCCCGCCGCGAGCGCCCCGGGCGTGCCGTACGCGACGCTCGGCAGCCGCGCACAGATCCTCGCGCGCTGCAGCCTCGCATTCTTCGACGTGACGGTGCGCTCCGCGGCGGGGGCGCTGTCCGCGGCGCGCGCGGCGCCGCTCGTGCCGGGCGTCGCGGACGGGTTCGCGGGCCCGACGCGCATGGGGCTGTACGCGGCGCGCCTGCTCGACGACGTGCAGGCCGCCGCGTTCGCGGGGCGCGGCGCGGTGATGCAGGCGCTCGGGGAGGACCTCGCGCGCCTTGCGCTCGGCTCGGCGGCGGGGCTGGCGAGCACGCGCGGCCCGGTGCTGGATCAGCGGGTCGAGGGCGCGCGCGTGGTGGGGCGGTATCCGGTGTGGCCGACGGGGCTGCTCGTGCTGCTGTTGTGGGTGAATGCGCTCGTCCCGCTCGGCGTGGCGGGGTGGGCGGTTGTGGTGGGGGTGCGTGCGCGGAGGGGGGAGGGGGAGAGGGAGGTTGTGGAGCTGGCGAGGCTGCGGTTGATGAGGCCGGCCGCGCTCGTGGCGGAGCTGGTGGGGAGGGACGAGGATGGTGGGGAGAGGCGGGCGCGGGCGGGGATGTGTGTGGATGTGAAGGAGATGTTTGATGAGCATAGGGGCGAGGAGGGGCTGAGGGTGGGGTTGGATGAGCGCGAGGGGCGGACTGTGTTTGGGGTGTGGAGGCGGCGGCGGCGGAGGGGTGGGTTGGATGAGAAGGAGTTGGAGGAGGATTAGGTGCGTTTGATCGTTTTCGCTGTTGGGTCGGTGCACTGATTCCTTTTACTGTCTAGGTCAGGACTCAGCATTTCGAACGCATTGTGACTTGTACAACTATCAACTTTCTTAGAATGGGGCACTCAGATATATCGATATCTTTCGGTGAGAACGGGACGTTTAGATATGTCGGTACCAATCCCAGCATCAGACTTCGCCGCGATACACCATACAATAACCGCACCAGAACCTTGCGCGCTCTCACACACCCTCCCGCCGTCAACCCTGGCCACCCATCAAACCACCCCACCACCCTTCGATAGCTCAGCTGGAAGAGCGTGAGACTGTAACCGGATACCTATTAAGCACCCACCCTTGCGCGGAACATCTCAAGGCCGCTGGTTCGATCCCGGCTCGAAGGATGGGCAGCGAAATTCATTTTCTGTTTTTTTTTTTTTTTTTTTTTTTTTTTTTTTTTTTTTTTTTTTTTTTTTTTTTTTTTTTTTTTTTTTTTTTTTTTTTTTTTTTTTTTTTTTTTCTGATTTTGTCGGCTGGGCGTGGGGTGAGGGTACGGGGTGAGGGCGGGTTGTGGGGTGGGGTGAGGAGGTAAGTGGGTGCTAGTCAGTGCTGCTTGTGCAATGACAAGAACGACAAGAACCGACGATCGACACGCATATGGACGACCTTATATATGCATCTGGAAATACCGTCACCGACACCCTGAGCACATATCCCTTCGATAGCTCAGTTGGAAGAGCGTGAGACTGTAATGGCTAACGTACACAATACACATTGTATCTCAAGGTCACTGGTTCGACCCCGGTTCGAAGGACCACGTAAATTGGAAACCGTTTACTTTTTTTGTTTTGTTTTTTTTTGTTTCGCGGGTGCTTGAGTGTCCCGGATGATCGTGCCAGCGCTGGGAGGGATGGAGGGAGTGCACTTTCGTGTCGACGGGAGTACATGGGGAGTGCATTTTTGCATCGACGTACTTACATGGGGAGTGCCTTGGTCCTTGGGGGATAAAAAACTTCTAACGTGGGCCAGGAACTCCTTCGAGCCGGGATCGAACCAGCGGCCTTGAGATGTTCCGCGCAAGGGTGTGTATTATCCTATTACAGTCTCACGCTCTTCCAGCTGAGCTATCGAAGGAGCATTCGTGTCCCCACACACCATCCTCACTGTGGCCTGCGGTATTGCCTCATCGCGCCTTGCTCCGAAGCCTCCGAGCCTTGCTTTTCCCTCAAGCCTCACGCTGCTTTCCTCCTCCACCCTCGGGGCTGGTAGCCAGTGAGTGCGAAGAAGGAGCATCGGCCGACTAGCTCAGCTGGTTAGAGCGTCGTGCTAATAACGCGAAGGTCTTGGGTTCGATCCCCACGTTGGCCATGAATTGGTATGCATTGTCTCTTTTTTGGGGGTGTTGGTGTTGTGTTTTGCTGCTTAGTGTACGGTGGTGCAGCAGTGGAGACGTAATGTACTTATACTATATGCGAGTGTGGTGGACGGTTGGATGGATGGTTGGTTGGATGAGATGCGCGTGGTACCAGCACCAGCACCAGCACCAGCGCAAGAGATCTGCGTTCGGCTCGTAGGCCCGGGCGGACGTGCATCGTTGTTGTGTGATATTTATGCGTTACATACGAGGATCGATGATATCGCGACGGGTACTTCTTACATGGCGCATACTGCGTAGTATCGAGCTTGAGTTTATTTGACATCGACCTTCGACATCAGCCAACTTCAATCTACGCTCCCCAGATGTCGAAGTCGACGTAGAGCAGGCGAGGCCGTGCCGTTATGTACTTAGATGAAATCCGGGCGTGGGGTGTTCGGGTCTGGATCGGGGGAGGGGGGTGTAGGAGGTGACGGCGGGTGGGGACGCGTATGGCGCATTGAAGATGAGTGTTGGCGAAAGGAGAGACTGACGCGTGGATAGAGCCTAAGCGTTCGGCTTGTTTTGGTCGCTGGTCGGTTTGTACGAGGAAGACGATGACGGCACGGTCACGATGACGCGTCCAATACACCGCGCTGCGCAAAAGTTCCGATATACTACCAGACATTCCGAAGCCCGAGCATGCGGGTCATCTGCTGAACGCGTGGAAGGAGTACGGCGGAAAAGCAGTCCGCTGAGTGTTCACTGGACAGAAGATGCTGAGTGATAGTATATGGGACAGATGGCATGAAGAAAACGCCACCGATAGCGCGACACGGATGTTCGCTCCGCCACTCAGAGCAGCGCATTGTTAAGACTCGAGAGGAGGTCCGTCAGTATTGCATCTCACCATCATGTCTCCTATCTCGCGCCCCAATCCTGTCCCTCGGAAATAAAACGCGCGCAGCGCGCAGTCCCAGGGAGGCATAAGCACAGATTACCGACGGAAACGCGCTCCGGGTCGCCCTCGGTGTACATGTGCGCCTCTGGACCACCCACCACTGCAGCATCGCCTTGGACAACACAGCCGCGAGGAACTACAGTGGTGCAGCTGCAAGGGCGCGTCTACGGAATACACCCGTCCTCGGGCACGGGGCGACGTGGATTACGAAGAGCGTGGAGGGACTAGCGTGCGCCGCACGGCCCTCCAGGCGCCGCACGGACAGACGTGAAACGTCGGCGTCTTGGCCTGATGAGCGGGTGCCACTGGAGCGGACGCGTACCGTGACATATATTGCACGCGCGCGCCATGGGATGGCCGCGGTGGATATGTGTGATGGCGAGGACGCGACTGAATACGGACTGGATGGATGCACGGCGGGACTCGAGGGGGCGTTGCGAAGGGGACGGCGGGCGGTGTTTCGCTGGGCGGCGGGCATGGAATTAATCGCGCGCGCCAGGCGGCCGGGCCGGTACCGGATGCGGAAGGCGCGAGGAACGAGCTGCCCGATAGAGGCCACTTTGCTCCCGTTTTGTCGTCGCGGCGACACGTCTAGCAGCCGACGTCCTTCCTGGGAAGACAACATGGGCCGCGTGCTGGGCGTCTGCCGCGTGCAGCGAGGCTCGTCCGGAGGTGTACTGGTGCGAAGACGAGAGACTAGGAACGCCGGGGGATCGACAGCCGGGGGAGTCACGGTGGTATTGATACAGACGAGTCGGTGGGCCCGGTGATTGCGTGCGTAGGTGGGGACTGTAGGGCGCTCGGGGGTATGGTCTGCGGATGGGCGATGCCTGTTTTGGCCAAGAGGTGGTGGCTGTATCACGAGGGGATCGCATCGAAGCGGAAGGGGGATCGGGGATCTGGAGAGGATCCGCAAATTGAGATCTGAGGCGGCTTCTCGCTGGTCGAGTGTCTGCGCGGCCTATATAGCCATGCATGAACCCGCCCTCGCTGCCCTCTTTTCCGCACACCATGTTCCCCTTCCGCAACGTCCGTGCCCTCTTTTCCCCCGCTCCTCCGCCTGCTCACCTCTTGCATTCCAGCCCAAAGACCCCCAGCGACTCCATTCGTCCCCGTCTCTCCCCAACCTCTGGTATGTTTTTGCTCTCTTTTCTTTGTTATCGGACCTGCTGACACCGCCCAGGGTGCCCGCGCACCAGCGACCGCCGCCTGCATCGCCCGACGCGTCGCCCCCCGCCACCGCCGCCCGCTTTCCGACGACTGCCGCGCTTCACTCCAAGTTCGGCCCGCTCGACCTCGCCGCTCCCCCCGAATCCCACCCCCAAAAAATCCCGCTCGCCATCGACGCGCTCACCTCCCCCGTCCGCTCCTCCCACGCGTCGCCCCGCCGCCCGCCTCTCCCGCTCACCCCGCCGCTCACCCCGTCCTCGTCGCTGAACGAGACACTCAGCGCCGTCGGCCAGCCTGTCACCCCGACAGACGCGTTCACAGAACCCGGAACCCGCTGGCGCGCGCCGTATGCACCAGCCAAGCAGCCCCGCCGCGACCACGGCCAAAATGTCATCTCCCTCGACGACGACGACGATGACGGCGCAGCCTTCCGCCCGAAAGAAGACGACCGCACCCCAACCGAGCTCTCCGCGAGCGTAGGACACGAGGCACCGCTTAGCCGGTTCCTTCTGGTACGTCCTTTGCGCGCACGCTCCGGGTCGCCGCCCTCACCTGGCTATTTCAGGTGAGAAACGTGCCGCGGCTTCTCTCCCAGAAGGCCGTCCGCGTCGTCTTCGATAGTCCCGGGAACAGCGACTCGTCTGCGCTCAAGGGAATTTGGGCCGGACACCTCCAGACCATGGGCATCATAATCCTCGTCTTTTACGACATTCGTGCCTCTGAATGCGCGCGGCGGAGGCTGTCTGGGAAGCGCGTGCGCGTGGATGAAGGTGGTGAGGACCACGAGGTGGAATTGCGGGCAGAATATCTATCGCTGGACGATGCTAAAAAGGTACGTATATGCGCTTCCCTTTCCTGTCGTTGTTCTCACATGCCCGACGCACTTGGAAGCTCACTCCCCGAGGTTTGTCTGCGGTCACGGAGATCGAGGCCGAGACTGCATTCTTCCTGCAACTCCTTTCTCCGCAGACGGCCGACCTCGTCGTGGTCCGAGACATCCTCGCCAGCTTTGGCAAGCTGCTCGCCTTTCGCGAGACTGATGGTCGTGGCGAGGTGAGCACGCAGTCTCCCTGCCATTTGTTTCTGTGGTTATGTGTACTCCGTGTGATCGATGGCATGGAGCGTGTCGAGACGCGCTCGTGTTTCGCACTTGAGCGGACTGATGCCATCGTGGTCTGACGTCGCGATGTCGGGATATCAGGATGGAGTGGCCTGGGTTGCTGCGGGAGCGAGCTGTTGATGGTATGATGAGGTGTCGTGCACCACCGCCCGTCTCCTGATCGCCCGGCGGTGGCCGGGTCCTGGTGGCCAGCCTGTCAGTGTTTCCGCTTCCCGTCGCACTCGAGGTGGTGATGATCCCAGGACGAGACAGTGATTGCAGCACAGTGCCATCCGTTATTGTTTCCTTGGGTGCGACGTGATCGGAACGAGCGCGGGAGACGTGTCGCATTTTGCTTCTCCTTCTTAGACCGTGCATTCTTGTTCTTCCCGTATGGGGCCCAGACCCCCTCGTCGTTTTTTCGCCTCTCCCTATCGCTCAGCAGCCAGCTGATCTTATTTTTCCCATTTTCTCTCGCTTCGAATCTCCCATTTGGGCTTGGACTCGCGGCTTGCCGTTTAAATTGGAACGGTGGCGCCGATCCGCGTTCTTTCTCACTGCGCGGCATTTGCCCTTGCCCCCATCCTCCGACCACGACGACTGCATCTGGCCACTTTGCCCTCCCGCTCCGATCCTCATCTGCCGATCGCACCGACTCCCTCTTTTTCTCTGTATCCGACCGCCATCGCCGTCTGCGCCCTCCAAAAATCGCGCTAACGCCGTCCCGCCCCACCTAGTGCTTTTACGTCGAGTACTACGACGTCCGCGAAACCACCGCCGCGCTGCACGGCCTGCAAAACACCACGACCGTCCTCGAGCACCAGATGCGCCTGTACCCCGCACATACCCCGCCGACGACCCCACTGCACTACCCCCACGCCCCCCGCATGTCAGCCCCCGCGTCCGCTTATCAAAACCACGCGAACGCGATCTACTCCACCCAGCCGGCGCCGCCGCCCGACGCCGCGCACTCGCACTACGCGCATGCCCACGGTAACGCCATCCCCTTCCCGAGCACCTCCTCGGCGGGCGGCGGAGGTGGCGGGGGCGGCGAGCACGAGCTGTCGGTGCACACGGCGTTCGACGCGCACGCGCAGCAGCTGAACGCGCACACGCGCCCGCGCAGCGCGAGCGCGGAGGCGGGCGACGGCGTCAAGGCGTTCGCGCTGCAGGACCGCCTGCGCATGCGCTTCAGCATCGCGGACGTGCACGAGCACGAGCAGCGCCGCCACTCGCAGAGCGAGGCCGAGGAGCGCCAGCGCAGCGTCAGCTTTGGTGCGGGCGCGCGGGTAAGTGAGCGGGCGGGCGGTGAGGAGGCAAAGGGCGCGGAGGGATATGCGGGGAGGGTGGGCGGCGAGAGCTATGCGGCTCGCGCGGGCGGCGAGGTCTATGCGTCCCGCGCGGGTGCGGACGAGCCCCAGGCGTACTACGCGCCGCCGCCCGCCGCGGGCTACGAGTACGCATATCCGCGGTACGGGTACGACGCCGGGCCCAGCGGGTACGAGTACGCGCCCGCGCCCGCGCCGTGCTTCATCCCCGCCGCGCCCCAGCACCGCACCGCGCCCCAGGCGCAGTACACGCTCCCGCCGCCCCAGCCGCGCCGCACCGCGCGGCAGGCACCGCCAGCCGCCGCGTCTTCGTCTTCCTCCTCACGCGCGCGCGCGCCGCCCGGCGCGAAGGGCCCCTCCGCGGCGGAGCGCGATCCGGACTTTGTCGTGCGCCCGCGTGCGCGCGCGCGGCTGCACGTGCCTGCGGGCGAGACTGCGACGGGGGCAGGGGCGAGCGGTGGGGTGGGCGCGGGGAACCAGATCAATGTGGAGCGGATCGAGGCGGGGGCGGACACGCGGACGACGGTGATGATCAAGAACATCCCGAACAAGATGAGCGACCGCGATCTGCTGGAGTATATCGCGGCGGTGTGTCCGCGGCGGATTGATTTTTTCTATTTGAGGATGGATTTTCAGAATGGTGAGTCTTTGGATTGCGCTTTTTTCGTTTGATTTGGGTGAAGGTGTGGTGCTGATTGAAGGGGGGGATGGGGTGCAAGGCTGCAATGTGGGCTACGCGTTTGTGAATTTCATCACGGTGGACGATCTGGTGAAGTTTGCGAAGGCGAAGCTGGGGACGAAGTGGTGCGTCTGGTTAATTTTTTGATCTGAGAGCTGGAACGCTGATGCGGGATTGGGATGTGCAGGAATATGTATTCGAGCGAGAAGGTGCTGCAGATGAGCTATGCGAACTACCAGTGCGCTTTTTTCTCCCTGTTCTTTATTTATTTATTTTGATGCTCATGTCCGCCCTTTCTCCATTTCCATTCCCATCCTCACCATCCACCATCCGCACATCTCCTCACCCCCCGTCTACGCGCCTCCTCTCCCACCCTTGCCCACCCGATTACAGAGGCAAAGAAGCGCTCGTCGAAAAATTCAAGAACTCGGGGATCATGGACGAGCGGCCGGCGTGGCGCCCGAAGATCTTCTTCTCGGACGGCCCGGAGCAGGGCCGCGCGGAGCAGTTCCCGCCGCCGACGCACCAGCAGCGCAAGGTGCGCAGCGCGCATAATCGTGGAGCGCTATTTGTGCCCGGCGGCGGCGTGCGCGGGTGAGGGTGAGGGTGCTGGTGTGTGTAGGGTGAGGGGTGGGTGGGAAGAAGGGGTGGGGGGGTATTTATTTGCTCGTGCGCGCGTGGACGCTTGTTTTCCGATGTCCATTTTTCGCTGCTCTGCTCTGTTGCGTTCCATTCCAGCCGCCATGTCATCCCGCACTCCGGAGCCGGCGGGCTGTATTCCGCTGCGGCTGTCCCCCCATCATCATCATCATCACGTCTGTTGCTTGTCGTCTGTCGTCTGTCGTCTGTCGTCTATCATATTCCCGCTTCCTGCTTTCTGCTTCCTGCTTTGTTTTCACCACTGCGTTGTTTGCTGAATTTGAAGTCGAGTGGTTGTGGTTGTGGTCGTGGTCGTGGTTGCTGCATTTACGTATTGTTTGCCTGCTTTTTTTTCGTGGTCGAGTCGCTCGGTTGCTTATCCGTTCGTATGTTCGGCTTTGTTTGCTCGTTTGATCGTCCGCGCGTGCGCGGTTATGGTTAGGCGCGGGCGCGGGGCGTGCTTGATTTTATTTTTCTGTATTTGAGATAACTCTTTCCCTCGTCCCGGTCACGGTTGCTTAGTCCATATTCCATATTCCATACTCGATACTTCATACATAACCCAGAACCCAGTATCCAGAATCCAGAATGCCGAGTTCCGAACATAGAAGCTGCTTTCCGTAACACCCATATTCCGTGTCCCCATTTTCCATTTTCTGTACGTATACGAAATCCTCCTCACCATCGCCATCGCCATCGCCATCGTGCTCACGCTGATCGACTCCGTGTATATTCTCTATTCTGTACCAAAGACTAGTACTCCGAATCCGAATACGTAACTCAGGTTCTCATTTACTTCCGCCCGCGTTCGAGTTCGTAACGCCCGTACGTCCAATCAAGCTCGAGTACTAGTGTGCTCTGCTCTGCCATAGTTGCCTCCGTGCCATCCCACTTCCCCCTCTAACCAAGACGATAAGGCCAACAAGAAGAGATAGGACATAGCCCGTTTAGCTCAGTGGTAGAGCGCGCCACTCGTATACGATATACGTCACTTCGAAATTCGAATGGAGCCATGGTGAGGTCGGTTGTTCAATCCAGCCAATGGGCATTCCTTTTTTTTTTGGTGTTTCTCAATGGGCGTTCATTTTACGATTCTCGTAGCACTGGTCTTGCATTTCCAAATTTACGTGCTCGCTGCGGCATGTGCTGCATCTGCAGGAGGCATGTATCGTGGTGGCAATTATGGCACGTGGGTCGAGAGGACGACAGGACGTTAAATCGTGCCGGGGAGACTCGGAGCAAGGGAGGTTACATTAGAGAGCGTTCGCGCGGATGTACGGATATGCAAGTCAAGAGAAAAGCAGGAGTAAGAGCAGGTACGAAATGCAGAAGCACTTCCGTGATAACAGCCCCGAGTCTCGAAATCACAGCCTCAAACAAACCGCACCGGCCAGCGTGCCCGGGACACGCATATAGTCATGATTCCGATTCCAGGCATAGTGCAAGCAGCATGCACCGGCAGCAGTGCTTCAGCGGCGGAGACGGAGGCGGAGACGGGAGCGGCGCCGCGATGAAGATGCCAAGAGTAACATACGGCGAGATGTGCACCACCGCGCCGATGGAGAGCACGGTGGCGATGAGGGCGACGGCAAAGATAAGATAGGCGGTGAAGAAGGCGAGGAGGAGTATGGATGCTGCGACGAGGAGCAGATCGAGGAGGGGGGAGAGCAGGTCGAGTGCGACCCGAAATAAGATGAGCGAGCCGACGAGCTCGAGCGCGCGTGTTGCGGGTTGGAAGAATTCTGAGTCGGAGTCGGATGTGTTCTGCTCGGGATCTAGATGAGCGGCAGGCGGAGGTGTGGGTGTTTGGTAAGGCGGTGGAGACGAGGGCTGGTCGTGAGGCGGGGCTGGATGTAGGGTAGATGGCGGAGTAGACGGGTGCGCTTCTTCGATCTCGGGCTCTAGGACAGGTGCTGGAAGAGGGAGAAGAGGAAGGGCCGGCTCTGCATCACGATTCTCAAACGGTTCGGCAGGTATCATTCCAATCATAAGAGCCAGCGCGAGTGGACTCAGGAGGGGGACAGAGCGCGTGACGACGCGTGGGCGACGCGTGCGTTGCTGTTATGTATAATAGGAGCTCAGATCGACTTTTGTAGGTGGAGAAATTGCTCGGAACGCACCTTGGATCGTCTCGACATCACTTAGAAGATGAGAGCTGCAGGAGACGGCGAGAGACGGGTGCGAGGGGGGTCTAGAGAAGGCGGAGCGACGAGCGGATGTAAGGGTGTATGATAGAGTACTTATAATGTTAGCACGCACGCCTGTCAATACATGTTACCGCATATATGCATGCCTATCGCGTCAATCAGTGCATTCCGGGAACCCAATGAATGCCAGATATCTTGATATATAGATCTCATCTGAATTGGGATCCCGTCAGAGTGAAGTTGAGGTCAGGTAGATGCCGGGCGCCAGCAACCAAGTCTTTCTTCATATACGTATAATCACTACGACCCGGACAAAAATGCACTGATGAATCACAGCGTAAGTAACTAGGGACAAAAGTTTAGCATTGCCGCAACAAAAAAGAGAGAGTCCACGAGATACAGGGAGAAGCGGGCAGCCAGCACGAGCGCGCGGAAGGAGAGGGGTGCCACGAAGTCGAGTATGCGGGAGGCAAAGTGGACGACGGGGTGGAGCAGTTGGAGCGCGAGCGCGACGGGCGCAAAGAAAATGAATGTGGAGATTAGCAGGATGAGGGCCAAGACGAGGGCGAACTGGGTTGTTTCGAGTGCTGTGCGAAGGTGGGTGAGGGTGGGGTAGATTTTGCGGCGTGTGCCTCGATGAGGCGGTTGGTAATGGGTATCCGCTGCTCTGGGATACGTGAATTCGAAGGCTCGCTGGATGTAAGAAAATGTGTGAGACTAGCTGTATATGCACGAGCGGAGCTGGCCAAACGCGCACCTCGTTATAGTGGTTTCCCATCGTTTTCGCCTCCGTAGCGCATAAGACGCACGCAGGTGGAATATTTATGGTGTCCCGAGAGAGCGGGATCGGCAGCGCGAGACACGTGGCGCAGCGTGCGCAGCATGCGCAGATCCTCGCAGACGTGCCTTCGTCTTTGGCGGCGTGCGGATCCGTTCAGGCTGACAGTGAGGATCGCGGAGACAAGCGCCCGTCCGTAGCCCGCCGATCGTTGACCTGGCCTATGCTCCCAGTCCCGAATTTGCGTTGGCATGCATGCTTACCGTCTGTTCGGCGATTGGGAGTGTCGAGTCACCATGCTATGGTTCGTAGTCATGACGGTCGAATGCAAATTCAGGCTCGCAGTCGCGGCCGCCGGCGCTTCGGCGCTCGTCGCGCTAGCGCTGCGCTGAGCTTGAATTATTCAATTCCGGGTATGCTATCGTGGTTGCGCAACCTTAGCTTGCCTGTCTCTGCATGTTCCACCATGGACCATGGTCATGACGATGGCGAACCGTGCACAAGCTTGTGTCATATGCCCAGGCTACTAGACGGAAAATGCGTAATATTTTGACTGTCTGCGACGATGCTAGCACCGGCCATCGCACACCCTCTTCCCACCATACTCGCTGAGTTCACCAGCAACTCCAAACCATGTCACTCCATTTCACCATACCCATACCCGCTCGACTTCACCATCCCGACCTCCAACATCTATGCTCCAGCACACCCGCGCACTCACTCCCAAATTCCTGACCAATCATCCCGGCCCGGTCAGAGCACTACGCCTCCCCTACCAGTGTACCTCCACACCTCGTCCTCGACGCGTCCTAGGCCACCCGCAGCTGGGTTATTCCCGTCCCCATATCCATATCCATATCCATATCCGCATCCACTCCCAACAACACCTGACTCGGGTTCATGGTCATACCCGTCGTCCCGCTCCCTCCCACAGGCAATATCACTAGCATCCTCATCCCCACCCAACACATCCCTCAAAAACTCAGGAGCGAGCACGAGCTCGGGCGCCGTCCCGTCATCGGGGACAGGCACCGGGACGGCGATGGGCACGGGCACGCGGATGATTTGCGGCGGCCGCGTGAGCAGCCACGCGAGCGCGCAGGAGAGGACGAGGATGAGGGCGAGGGCGAGGGCGAGCGTGCGGGTGTGTGTGGGTAGCGAGGAGAGGAGGAGGAAGAAGAGGGGGAGCAGGAGCAGGAGGGCGGGGGCGGGGGGGCGCAGGAGGGTTTTTGTGTGGTTTGGGTTTGAATTTGTGTTTGCGTTTGTGGTTGCGGTTGTGTTTGGGTCGGGGGCGTAGGCGTCTGGAGGCCCGCCGCGGATGATGGTCCAGATGAGGTACTCGATTGCGACGTCGCGCGCGTCGAAGCCCGGGCGTGCGGGGGTGGAGGCGGGGGCGGGTATGGGTGCGTATCCGCGTGGCTGTCCGCGGGTTTTGTGTTTCTGAGGTACGTAGGTGTTTGGGGTTAGCGGGATGCTGGAAGCTGGATGCGCATGGAGCTGGTGCGAGTGCTGGGACGTATACGTACGTTGCTGCGTTTTCCCATTATTCCGTTGTGTGTCTGCGATGTATGGAGTTGCAGATACAGGCGCAGCTGCGGGGGATGGAATATTTATGTCGTGCGAGCACGGCGACCGCGCAGCGGTGGAGAACGTTTGCGCTTCGAATTCGAAAGCTTCTTGGACAGCACCGAGGCTGGCGTGCTGCGGCATCCATCTGCACCTCCCGCCTGTCCATGTCATGGTCTTCGTCGCGAAATTGGCTGATCACCGGCACCGGGTTTGACTTCGATGAGCTTCGGTTGACAGCGAAGACGCCGTGCAGTCTGAGCAGGGAGGGATGTGGATTTCCTTTTTATCGCCTTGTTAGGGTAGGTGTCATGAGAATATTGGGATGTGTACGTACGGTGATTCCGATATTGGGAGTTGGATGAGTTGACATGGCAGTGGTCACGCACGAATAGAAGCTGAGTGTGCGGTGGTGAATATGGTATCAGCAAAGTAGCTTTCAGTACTTCATCTGAGACCCGGGATGAGCCAACGACTTACTGTACATATGCAGAAAATCCACCCCACAGAAGTGGCTTGCTTCGAATGAATGGATGGACCCCCTCTCTGTATGCCCGCATCCGACCTCGCCGTAAGCACTGATGCATCTTCGAGTTCCAAGATAAACATCACGCTGGACAGCCGGCCGGGAATCATGTCGCTCGGTCGCGACTATACTGCGCCAACCGAACCGAAAATCACGAACCACGAACCACGAGCATCCCCCCTCCCCGCCTCCCCGCCTCCCCCCCTCCCTCCGCGCCAACCACACCCCAGCCAACAACTTCAACATGAACCAAGCATCCAGCCTCATTTATTAATAAAGACTGCTCACAGCCAAAACCCCAACGCCCACAATCACCACCGCGCCGACGCACGCACACACGACGAAGATACCCACACCGATGAGTACGGTGACCGCGAATAGGGCGGCGACGAGGAACAGGTGGTGGTGCGCGCTTATACCGGGGAGTGCTGGGCCGGGTGCGAAGCTGAAGTGTGCCAGTGTGTAGGATTGGACGTTGCGGTTGTGGTTGTAGTTGTAGTTGCGGTTGTAGTAGGTGAGATCGCTGTTGTGCCCATGCTCGTACGCGGCCACGGTGGCATCCTGGGGCATGGAGGTATCTATCAGCTGAGCTGTTGTATATACGAAGATGGCAGGAGGGATGGATGGAGATGGGGTGCGTACCTTAAGCTTGCGGCGCAGCATCTCGTCTGGATATTCGATAAACCCTTAGGCCTTAGGCTGTAACGAGACTGTGAGATTGAAGTGTCGGGTATCGGGTACTTATACATCTCGCGATCAACCACTCGGAAGCCGAAGAATATAGGCCACTGGCAGGATCTGCGTGCAGAGGCGCAGCCGTTTCTGTGGAGCCCATTCCCCGTATCGTCCCGCAGCCGGTCATTAAGTCGTCAGCTGTCGAGGGAATACCGGTATGCATACGTATACGTATAGAGCGCCTAGAAGGGAAATTGGCAGACTACTCAATGAACCGACTGGATGTGAACCGACGTCGGAAGCCGCGTTGTGTGAACGGCGTTCTGCTTCCCAGTTTTGAAGTCTTCGAGAGAGAT